TAATCTTTTTATTAAGAAGATTTCTCTAGAATAGTTGCTACTATCTCCATATACTATTTCTCAAGACTTTCCTTAACCAGTTTTCATTCATAAATTATTTTATAATTCTTACTATTATTATTATTATATTTTAAATTAAATTTAAATAATTAATAATGTGTTTTAATTTGCAAGGTTGTATGTGTTTAACGGCTCAATTAATTATGAGTCACAAAATCCTTTGCCAAGAGAATCACTGTAGATTTCCAAATCCTTTCCCTATTTCTACAAGGTTTATACTTCTTCACTTCTATAATTAAAACCCTAATAAACAGCCAAAGCCCCTCTTCATTAAATACAATAAAATCTCTCTTCAATATATAATTCGTTTGATTTTGCTTTCTTTTTTCCCCAAGTTTTCCGGCCAACAATGGCTGAAACCGACGGCGAACTCGCGGCCAGGAAGAGGCGGTGGAAGTGCCTCAACCACCTGACGGCACTCCTGTCGGAAGGCACCGTCCGCCTCGAAGATTTGGTTTCCGAACTCGAAAATGATCAAAACAACCCTATCCCACCGTTGGAGCCTTTCTCTTTCTCAAGAAAGGGCAAGCGTTCTCCAAGAACCGGGTCAAAACCGACACACGACGAAAAGCCCGAGTCCAGCTCGGCCCGGATCAAGATAACATTCAAGAACCTTCCTTCCGTGGCCGGGCCCCTCCCATGCAAGAGAAAAAAGGTTTCCGAAAATGCCCTCCAAAAACCGAAGAAGAAGCAGCCGAGGTTCGATATCAGGAGTCACATCATGACTGATCAGTTGCCCGGGCCCGAGTTGCCCAGGTTAGCCGACCCGGGTCTGCCCGGTGAGTTTGTGGAGTACATTATCCGGAACAATGGTCGGCCCGAGAGCTTTGTGTTGCTGATAGAAAAGAAACTGTTCAATACGGACCTAAGCCCGAGCCACGCGAGGCTGTCGGTGCCGATTTGCCAGGTGAAGAGGCCGTTTTTGTTGAAGGAGGAAGTTGAGAAGCTGAAGGCAGATAGGGCAATGAAGGTGAAGCTATTGCAGCCGAACGTGGAGAAGTGTAGGCTGACTTTGGCGTTGTGGGAATCGAACTCGACGTATGTGTTGAACGGCGGGTGGACAGAGGTCGTGGATAGAAACAAGCTGGTGATCGGGACAAGTGTTCGGCTGTGGTCTTACCGTAAGACGAATTCCAAACTGCGTTTCGTATTGGCAAAGGTTGAGTGATTAAGGGTTTGTTTTGTTTTGGGGATGAATGGATGGATATCATGTTTTGGTGGATATTATCTTTGAATATTATTCAATTTTGATCAAATATGTTGGGTTGTAGAGATTAATTTGATGGTATATATATATGTATGTGTGGAGAGTTGATGTTATAGTTTCATCTTGTTAATTTCGCGGGAATTCTGCCGAGAGAAACTGTTCATCTTACGAGGGTAAGAACTGATAACTAATGATAATTAATTAGAACATGGCTTCCTTCGCCGCGGAAGGCCCTGTGGGGTACCATTTCTTCCATGATCCGCCGGAGGGGGCTACAACATGACTTGATTGGCGTAGCTTATTCACGGACCGTCCGCATCGTTACCCGCTAGGCGTGCAGCGCCTCTTCCATTGTACCAAAAAAAAATAAAAAATTAGAACATGGCTATGATCTTATATTTTGCAGCACCTACAACGACATGTGATACCTGCGTTTTACTAAGATAAATATAGGAAAAAGAATGAACTGAGTCTTACCAAGGCTTTGATCTTAAATTGATTGATAATCGGTATATGATCGCTACAACACGTTAGCTAAAATACTGGAAATTAGAAAGGAAAAAAATAAAATAAAATGATGAATGTAAAATAGTTTTATCACTAAGATTATTATGACTTATGAAAAGTTGGCTTATATGATAGAAGTGTTTAGTAAAATTAGATGATAAGATAGCAAACAAAAAATTCGACGAACTTATTTAAAAAACTATTAAAAAAAGCTTATGCAATAAGCTCGAACTCTCGTCCATACCAAACGAAGCTTATTTAAAGAAACTTATAAGCTAATAAAAAATTAGCTGATAAGCTTTTTTTTTTTTTTTTTGGACTTGTACTTTCGTGATTTTTCTATTGCCACCTCTATCATTTTATTTTCGGGCGATAAACTCCTCACAACCTGTAGTCAACTACGTCAAATTCCGATCACTCTTCATCAAGCTCGCCCTCACAGCTAGGCGCCAAAACAACCAAGTCACAGTGGTCAAAGGAAAAACTACCCACAGACCGACTGGTGTTGACCAGTTCACTTTCAAACATTTTATTCAAGTGAATCGAACTGGTTGATAAACATGTACCCGACAAAAGTACCAGTCTGACGGGCTGGTGTTGACTAGTACACTTGCAAACATTTTATTCATGTAAACTGAACTGCAGGACGAATCCACAAAATTTAATTGAGGGGACTAAATAATTTACAGAAATATTATATTTCATTAAAAAACAAAGTTGCATTTCTAGAATAGAAAAAAAAAATGTAGTTCAAGAAAATACGTACCATTCAAAATTTGTGAATATAGAATTGTTTTCGACTTTCTCTCAAGTCACGAAACTAATCGATGATTGATTCTGTCCTAATAGATCTTGCAATTTTCCTTTCAACAAAGATAGTCAACGAACTTACAAGAAAGTCATCTTCCATTTTACTTCGAAGATTGGATTTAACGATATCCATAGCCGAAAATGCACGCTTTGTGGTCGCCGTAGACACAGGAAGAGTAAGAATCAACCTTATTAACTTACCAATCAACGGATAAATCAAAGACATTCTACTTTTCGTCATCCATTGGCACAAATCAGAGATAGTGCACAAATTTTGAAATTCTAAATGCTTGGAACATCACTCTCATAATGTCGCAACTGAGCTTGCAGTAAGTCTTTTTCATAATCTGTGAAGTCTCTGGGATAAAAATCATTGACAAGAAGGCAAGCGTCATCTATATTAAAAGACGATCGAGAATTGCGAGGATCAAACATAGAGCTAAGAACAAGTGGCTTCACGGCATGCATGCTCACTAAATCTATTGTTTAGCTCTTGGAGTTGACAATCTATCGTAACTGTAAATATATTAACACAGTAATAATCACCGACTGTAAATAGATAATGCTTATTCCGAGATCGTCCTCCTCATTCAACATATAAATCATTTACATCAGGAATATCTATCGCACGACTTTCACAAAAAAAAATTACCTTGTTAAAGAGACTCTTGTATCCATCATCTCTCAGTTTTTAGATTAGACCATTTGTAGTGCCAACAAAATGCATAGCATTCAGAATATCTTGAGATTTTCGTTGGAGAGCTTGACAAAGCGTATTAGTTATTTCCATTATTTCTTTCATAAGATGCAAGATAAAGATGAACACGAAAGAGGTCGTTAAAGAAATGTAAGACGAATCTGCATCGGCTCGTTGGTCACAATTTCCCTCATCAATGATGCACAACAAAACCGAGCAAGCTGCACTAAACATCTTCAACAAGCTAGAAATCGACCCTAAGTGCGAACCCCACCGCGTATCTCCTGCTCGTTTAAACTGCCAATTTGATTTTGTTCAGACCATTTTTCAAGCTCGTCAATAGAAATCAAGTAAGCAATATCAGAAGCTTGAGCCGCATCTGCTGGACTGGTCGATCCCGATCCAGTCATGTTAGACTACTCGATCCAGTCCAATTTTGAAAAGAACAGATAAATTTATATATTTCAGTTACAATAAATTGTAATATTGTTTCTTTGTGCATCCCACATGCCACAAACTAAAAAAATATTGAAATTTGATGTCTGCAACATTATTTGGTCTTTATTCTAGAAAAAAAACTTCAATTCAATTATCTTTATTTAATAAATCTCAAGAGCACTGTCAAATGACTAAATAGATAATATGATTAAACTCAAATATTGATATGGCTCATATATTGACAAAGGAAAGGGGGCAGGCTAATGCCTGCGAACGTAACGGAACGAATATAATGAGGGAATCTTGTGTTGTTTACTTTTTCGTTTTTAATTCGTATGCTATATTGTCATCGACTCTTAACATCAAATAATAGCAACTAGATAATTTTAACAAATATGTATTTGCTAGGCGTTCGAGTGTATCTTATCTAAATCACAAAGAAGATCCCAAATACAGTCTCAAGTCTTCTCACGTAGAAACCAATGAAATTTATAGGTTGAGAAGAAAACGACCAAACATTTGACTGAGCCGACAATACGACCTACACTACATCTGTAAGCCTCAGAATGCTATTATTTTGAGATCTCTCTCTCTCTCTCTCCTGCCAATAAATCTAGCTATATATATATAGGGCAATGCTATATGTACACTCCTTTTTAATAAATTACACAAAGGGCAATACTATATGTACACCCCTTTTTTACACACAAGGGGGTGTACATATAGACACCCCCTATATATAATGTTGTTAACGATCGGTATCGGTCAACGGTTAAATTCAGATTAAGAGTAATAAATACGAATAAATTAGAAATTTGGAAAATGAAATAAGCTTTATTGCTTCTTTGGTGAGGTCGGCCTTTGAGTTCTTGATCGGCTTTTCACTTACACTTAGTTAATTACAATATTTTTACTAGAGTAATGTAGAGAGAGAAAGAGTTGGCAAATTGTTTAACAATCCTTAATAAATGAGGATGGTTGCCTATTTATACTAATACAGACCGAGTACTGTTCATCCCCTCACTTCGTGAGATAACTAGAAACGACAGGTACCAAACTGTTCATCCCGTCACTGACTAAGAACGACATGTATCAGACGCCGCTCTGACGGGCATTAAATGAGATTTGAGATTTAATCTCACCAAGAGTTATACGCCAATAAAAAATGAAGACAACATATTAATACAAAGAGTAATGCTACAAGTACATAATAGTGTACATAATGGTGTACATAACACTCACATTGAGTGGGATCCACTAAAAATAAAAAATCAAATGGATCCACTCAATGTGAGTGTTATGTACACCATTATGTACACTATTATGTACTTGTAGCATTACTCTAATACAAATCCGCATATATAGTTCATCTACTTCATGTCTAAACTACCTTAGACTAGATATCACTTGAACTGAGTAATCGATAATTCTGTCACTAATTTATCGGAAAGAATTCAAAAAACCGACTAGGTGCCGATTCAGAAACGCAGTCGTGATCGCAGTCGTTCTCCTCGGTCTTAACCGCGCTCAAATAGTTGCCCTTCTCGACCGGAAAAAGCTCGAGAGTTTCTCGATTTTCGTTCGTTATCCCGCCCTCGACAAATCCGAATGCATCGCGTTTACCAGTGCTCGTTTTTTCACACGATTTTTCGTCGTTTTCTTGGCGACGAGCTTTGATGCAAGGTGATAACAATAATAAGTCCAATCTGCATTGTGTTTGGGGAGCCTTCTTAGCATGTGTCCATTTGTCCTGTCTCCATTCTTCTCCTTGTATTGATACAGAGCACTACCAAAACCAAAAATAAACAAAATAATAAAAAAAAAATTAAAATTACAATACAATAGGAAATTAAAAAAATAAATAAATAAATAAAAGAGGGGGGTAATTTTTTTTTTTTTAATTTAAATTATGGGGCAAAAGCTCTGTTTCATATATATGTGGCAATCAATTCTTTTGACCTTTGTGGTGTATAATTGGGCCATGATTTTGTCTCTGATTAATGGCAAAGTCAGGTGTTGGGCTGTGTGCTATGGCTAATCAAGAAAGGCTAGGCTGGCATTTTTTTTTTCTTTTTTCAGTAAAAATGAATTATAATAATAATAATAATAATAATAATAATAATAATAATAATAATAATAATAATAGTAATAATAATAATCCTTGTAAAATTTTAAATATCCAATACCAAGGAGGGGTTGTAATAAAAGCTACAAATTTTTTGTCCTTTGTAAATTTTTGGAAAAACTTTGTGTGTGTACTAAATTTACTTACCTCTGAAGCTGTGCTGTAACTTTGGGGTGTAGTCAACCTCCTATGTCCTGCAATTCAATTTTGCTAAAATTTAACTTTGAAATAAAATGATATATTCAACTCAAAGACACTTCATTATGTCACATTATGTCACATTAATCGATCTTAACGACCGAGTATATATATTGATTAAATGTTCGAGCTCGACTTTCCTTAATTTACTACGTGTTAGAAATAAAAAAACAACAATGTCATCAC